AGGGAGTGGGAGAGGGAGAAGCAGGCTGCCCGCTGAATAGTGAGCCCAGCATGGGTCTGGATCCCAGGTCCCTGGGACCACAACCCGAGCTGAAGGCAGGCGCTTAATGACTGAGCCATCCAGGCACCCCTAAAGAAGTTTTTGATTACTTCAAAAAAATTTAAAACTTGACTGATTTTTTTTTTTTTTTTTAAAGCTCAGAGTTTTATCCCAGTGTAAACTGTAATTGGGGTATTTTAGCTTAAGTTATTAGACTCCTAAAATCTCTGAATTGCGGGGACTTCAGTAGTCATCATTCTGTCCTCTTCAGTGCAGAAATTTTGTGTGTAGTCTTTCAAGTAAGCTAAATAATAATTGTCACATATATTTTTAAAAGATTTTATTTATTTATTTGACAGAGGGAGAAAGAATACAAGTAGGGAAGCAGCAGAGGGAGAGGGAGAAGGAGGCTCCCTGCTGAGCAGGGAACCCAATGTGGGGCTTGATCCCAGGACTCTGGGATTAGGACTGAGCCAAAGGCAGATGCCCTACCAGCTGAGCCACCCAGGCACCCTGTCACTTATATTTCTTATATATTTTTAGCTTGGGTCTGTTGCTCTTGAATTCTCTCATCCTGACCTTGAAAGTGCTTCAGGGATCCCTCCATGTATACAGTACCTCTTTGCCAAACAAAACAAGAAACTTGTATCAGTTCATCTGGCAAATGTTCTACTCATAAGATTCAGCAGAACATAAAGGAATCATAAGCAAATTGAAGAAAATTCCGTCAGATATTTAACATTTCCAGCTAGTTTGGTATTGTGGAGTTTATTTTCCAAATAGGGTTTAACTTATTTTCATAAAATGTAACTGTTCCAGCAAGGTGTTTGGTATAGTTCAGCTTCAATTCCTTGGAATTTCTGAGTCAAATTTTACTAAAGTCAATTCCATTAGAGTAAAAGTGTCTAAGTAACCAAAATATTTCTAAATGTAAACTAGTGACCTGGTTATATCTTACAATATTTTTTAAAGATTTATCTATTTTTAGATATTTACTTACTTATTTTATCCTATTTAAAGATTTTATTATTTATTTATTTATTTATTTATTTATTTTATAGGAACTTTTTTTTTTTTAAGATTTTTTATTTATTCATTTGACAGAGATCACAAGTAGGCAGAGGCAGGCAGAGAGAGAGAGAAGGGGAAGCAGGCTCCCCGCTGAGCAGAGAGCCTGATGTGGGGCTCAATCCCAGGACCCCGGGACCACGACCCGAGCTGAAGGCAGAGGCTTTAACCCACTGAGCCACCCAGGCGCCTCCAAGATTTTATTTATTTATTTGACAGAGAGAGAGAGACCACAAGTAAGCAGAGAGGCAGACAGAGAGAGGGTGGAGGGGAAGCAGGCTCCCAGCTGAGCAGAGAGCCTGATTCGGGGCAGGATCCTAGGATCCTGAGATCATGACCTGAGCCGAAGGCAGAGGCTTAACCTGTTGAGCCACCCAGGCGCCCCTAGATATTTATTTTTAATTTATTTATTCAACAGAGAGCACACAAGCAGGGGGAGTGGCAAGCAAAGAGAGACGCAGACTCCCTCCTGAGCAGGGAGTCCAATGTGGGACTCGATTCCAGGACCTTGGGATCATGACCTGAGCTGAAGGCAGAGGCTTAACCAACTGAGCCACCCAGGTTCCCTGAGATTTTATTTATTTATTTGAGAGAGTGAGAGAGAACATGAGAGGGGGGAAGGTCAGGGAAGAAGCAGACTCCCGGCAGAGCTGGGAGCCCAGTGCAGGACTCTATCCCAGGATCATGATCTGAGCCAAAGGCAGTCACTTAACCTACTGAGCCACTCAGGCTCCCTGTATCTTATCATATTTAACAGAATTCTGATACAGGTCCTGACTTTAATATTTCATTTTTATTTTATTATTTAATCACACCAGTCAGAATAGCTAAAATTAACAAGGCAGGAAATGACAGATGTTGGCAAGGATGTGGAGAAAGGGGAACCCTCCTACACCGTTGGTGGGAATGCAAGCTGGTGCAGCCGCTCTGGAAAACAGTATGGTGGTTCCTCCAAAAGTTGAAAATAGAGCTACCCTACGACCCACGACCCAGCAATTGGGCTACTGGGTATTTACCTCAAAGATACAAATATAATGATTCAAAGGGGCACATGTGCCCCAATGTTTATAGCAGCAATGTCCACAATGGCCAAACTATGGAAAGAACCTGGCTGTCCAACAATAGATGAATGGATAAAGAAGATGTGGTGTGTACACAGACACACACACACACACACACACACACACACACACACACACACACGTACAGGAATATTACGCAGCCATCAAAAAACTTGGCATTTGCAATGATGTAGATGGAACTAGAGGGTATTATGTTAAGTGAAATAAGTCAATCAGAGAAAGACAATTATCATATGATCTCATATGTGGAGTTTGAGAAACCAAGTGGAGGATCGTGGGGGAAGAGATGAAAAAGTGAAATGGGACAAAACCAGAGAGGGAGACAGACCATAAGAGACTCTTAGTCTCAGGAAACAAACAGGATTGCTGGAGTGGAGGTGGGTGGGAGGGTTGGGTGGCCGGATGATGGACACTGAGGAAAGTATATGCTATGGTGAGCGCTGTGAATTGTGTGAGACTGATGAATCACAGACCTGTACCCCTGAAGGAAATAATACATTGTGTTAATAAAAAAATATTCTATTTATTGAGAGAGAGAGTGAGCAAGAGAGAGCACAAGCCGGGAGGGGCAGATGAAGAAGCAGATTCTGCACTAAGCAGGGATCTGGATGAGGCGCTGGATCCCAGGACTGCAGGATCAAGACCTGAGCCAAAGGCAGACACTTAACTGACACTTAACCAGGTGCCCCTAATGATTTATTTATTTATTTATTTATTAAGATTTTATTTATTTATTTGACAGAGAGCACAAGTAGGCAGAGAGGCAGGTAGAGAGAAGAGGAGGAAGCAGGCTCCCCGCGGAGCAGAGAGCCCGATGCAGGGCTCGATCCCAGGACCCTGGGATCATGACCTGAGCTGAAGGCAGAGGCTTTAACCCACTGAGCCACCCAGGCTCCCCCCTAATGATTTATTTTTAAGTAATCTCTGTATCCACCGTGGGGCTCAAATTCACAACCCCAAGATCAAGAGTTGTATGCTCTACCAATGAGCCAGCCAGATGCCCCCTTCTGTATTTTAACTAAATAATCCTAGATATTAAGCTTTCTAAAAGGTAATGTTACCCTAATTTGAGTTCTTAAGTCTTATTAAGGTTACAATGGGTACCAGCTTGTGAAATAATAGGGTAAGTGATAAAAATACAGTCAGGAAGTATATTTGGTGACCAGGGCTTCTGCAAAGTTTTATAAGATTATTGTGTTTGAGTTTTAAAAGTCACATTCTAGGGGCGCCTGGGTGGCTCAGTGGGTTAAGGCCACTGCCTTTGGCTCAGGTCATGATCCCAGGGTCCTGGGATCGAGCCCGTCAGGCTTCCTGCTCAGCGGGGAGCCTGCTTTCTCCTCTGTCTCTGCCTGTCTCTCTGCCTACTTGTGATCTCTGCCTGTCAAATAAATAAATCTTTAAAAAAAAAAAAAAGGTCACATTCTAGGGGCACCTTGCTGGCTCAGTAGAGCGTGCAACCCTTGATCTCAGGCTTATAAATTTGAGCCCCATGTTGGGTGTGGAGATTACTTTACTTAAAATCTTTAAAAATAATAAAGTGGTCCTATCTAATCCTCAACACTGTCACTTTACATACCCTCTGATGTGCAGTGGCCTTGATTCATTAAAATTCAAAGTATTCCTCAGAAGAGCTAATCACAGCTTAGGTTGTTGAAAATATTTCTGGCTTTAAAATTTGGGTTATTAAAATTTTTTTTTTAATTTTTTTTTTTTAATTTATTTGACAGAGATCACAAGTAGGCAGAGAGGCAGGCAGAGAGAGAGGAAGGAAAGCAGGCTCCCCGCTGAGCAGAGAGCCCGATGCGGGGCTCGATCCCAGGACCCTGGGATCATGACCTGAGCCGAAAGCAGAGGCTCTAACCCACTGAGCCACCCAGGTGCCCCTAAAAATGTTTTTTTAAAGGTTTACTTATTTATTAGAGAGAGAGTACATGCATATGTGCGAGCAAGTTGGGGAGGGTCAGAGGGAGAGAGAAACTCCAGCAGATTCCCCGCCGAGCCAGGAGCCCACCATAGGCCCAAGACACGGGATCCTGAGATCATGACCTGAGGTGAAATTAAGAGTTGGGATGCATTTTTTTTTAAAGATTTGGGTGCCTGGGTGGCTCAGTGGGTTAAGCCTCTGCCTTCGGTTCAGGTCATGATCCCAGGGTCCTGGGATTGAGCCCGGCATCAGGCCTCTCTGCTCAGCAGGGAGCCTGCTTCCCCCTCTCTCTCTGCCTACCTCTCTGCCTACTTGTGATCTCTCTCTCTCTGTGTCAAATAAAAGGGAGGGAATATAGACAGGGGGAGTGGGAGAGGGAGAAGCAGGCCTCTCACTGACCAGGGAGCCCAATGGCAGGACTTGATCTCACGACCCTGGGATCATGACCTGAGCCAAAAGTAGATGCTTAACGACTGAGCCATCCAGGTGCCCCAAGAGTTGGGATACTTAACCAACTTCGCCACCCAGGCACCCATAAATATGGGTTAGTTACCATTTAGAGTAACTGAAGGGAGGTGGTATGGACATTTAAATCTACCATGCTGCTAATTTCCTTTGAAGCACAGCAGGGACAGGAATTAGGAAAATACCTTATTCAGTAGAGAAAAGGTAAGTGGTTCCCAGAAAATCCAAAAAATTCAGCAAAGCAGTGAATGCTTGAGTATGTTTGAGGAAAGGTGATCTAGTGCTAAATTTGGTCAGAGAATTCTCTGCATGAAATGAAAGTACATGCTGTGACCGTTGGAGAACTTGACTCCTCTGAGGAGTGTATAGATAGCCCTACAGTGGTTACCCTTTATCCTTTTTTTCACTTTCTTTACTCCTAGATCTACGAAATCCAGAGGCAGCACTGTCTCCCACCTTCCGCAGTGACAGCCCAGTGCCTACTGCACCCACTTCTGGTGGCCCTAAGCCCAGCACAGCTTCGGCAGTTCCTGAGCTAGCTACAGACCCTGAATTAGAGAAGAAATTGCTACACCACCTCTCTGATCTGGCCTTAACATTGCCCACTGATGCTGTGTCCATCCGTCTTGCCATCTCCACGGTAATGACCTGTTAAGACAGGGTTGGGATATACCACTTCTTTGCTTCAGTTCGTGGTCAGTGTCTTACTGTCTTCCCCTCCCCTCCCCTCCTTCCCTAGCCAGATGCCCCTGCCACTCAAGATGGGGTAGAAAGCCTCCTACAGAAGTTTGCAGCTCAGGAGCTGATAGAGGTAAAACGAGGTCTCTTACAAGATGATGCACATCCTACTCTTGTGACCTATGCTGATCATTCCAAGCTCTCTGCCATGATGGGTGCTGTGGCAGAAAAGAAGGGCCCTGGGGAGGTAACAGGGACTATCACAGGACAGAAGCGGCGTGCAGAGCAGGACTCAGCCACAGTAGCTGCCTTTGCTAGCTCTTTGGCCTCTGGTCTGGCCTCTTCAGCATCAGAAGCAGCCAAGGAGCCAACCAAGAAATCGAGGAAACATGCTGCCTCGGATGTTGATCTGGAGATAGAGAGCCTTCTGAACCAACAGTCTACTAAGGAACAACAGAGTAAGAAGGTAGGGGTAGATGGAAATGCATTCATGCATACACTTTGTTTGTTTATTTTTGGTTTTGTTTTTTTAAAATTTTATTTTTAAGTAATCTACACCCATTATGGGGCTCAGACTTAAAACCCTAAGATTAAGAGTTGAATGTTCTACCAACTGAACCAACCTGGCGCTCCTTACATAGGTACTTTTAGTTACAGCTTTGGTTGGGGAGGAATTTACCCCTAGGGCAAGGAGCAGGTCTTAGGGTTGAGGGTTTAGAATAATGGTTTTCAATTTCAATTTCATTGGGGATTATTGTCCCCCCTACCTTCCCCCAAAGAACATATAGCAATGTCTGAAGACATTGTGATTGTCACAACACAGGAGTGCTACAGGCATCCATTGCATAGAGGCAAACGATGCTGTTAAGTATCCTACAATCATAGTAGGATAGTCCCCACACAACAAAGAAATACTTCACCCCAAATGTCACTAATGCCAGTGTGAAGAAACTCCAGTTTTGAGGATGCTTGTTATTGGAAGAATCATCAGGTAAGTGGAAGAGGAGCCCATGTATGAGAATAGCGGGAGATGAATGGACATGAATCCTGGAAGGTAGTAACAAGGACCATTAATTATAGAAACTGATGATTAAACAGTGTAAATTGGCAGTTAACTGTGGTTCTGAATATAAGTAACGGACTCGTGAATACTTCCCATTTGCTATTTCTAGGTGTGTAAATATGAACAAGTTAATTTAACTTGAGTTTTAGTCTTCTAATCTGTTAGGTGATGATAACCAGAGTACCCTCCTTTACAGAACTGTTGCATAGACTCAGCTAAACAGTAAAGTGCTTTGTGCTTCAGTGTCTTGGTTCTGTACATATAAGTGGTTTTGGTGGGAAGGATTGCTTTCCTGGGGAGGGGAGGCTAGCTTAATGCCTAGCAGTAGAAACCAGGTTTCTTATAATTCCACCCCAAATGCAGATCTGTAAGAAGGGACTGAACCCATGACAAAACTCTTCTAGGACTCCACTTTTCCCATATTAGGTTAGCTCATTCACCTCTTACAACAGGACATTGTCAGGTAGAATTTAGGGAGGTGGTTTAGGGCTCATTTTATCTGCAAACCTTTTAAGTCTAAGGCTTCTTTTGTCACAGGTCAGTCAGGAGATCCTAGAGCTATTAAACACAACAACAGCCAAGGAACAGTCCATTGTTGAAAAGTTTCGATCACGAGGTCGGGCCCAAGTACAGGAGTTCTGTGACTATGGAACCAAGGAGGAGTGCATGAAAGCCAGTGATGCTGACCGGCCCTGCCGCAAGCTGCACTTCAGGTGTCTCGGGAGGGAGAGAGGTCGGGTGGGGCTCCCAGAAGCACTCATTACTTTCAGCACATTCCTTGCAGTCACTGGGGTTCTGTCTTTTATCCTCTTGTTAAATGTTTTTAATGATTTGTCTTAGACCTCCAGATTCTCAAGGTGTACTTGCTGAAGTAGTGTTCTATGGGAGAGAATACAGACTGCATTCCCAAATAGATGTGAGATTTTTTTTTTTAAATAACGCCCCTTTCTTCTTGTATTAGCAAGACATCTCTCTCTGAGGCCCAGTAAAAGTTAAATTCCCTGAAGGATGATCGTAGGAGAAATAGGAACCTGGGCTCTTAGGTCAGTGTTTCATTCAGCTTTAACCAGCAAGTCCTTCTTTCCTGTTCTAAGAAAGTTGTCTTTGCTCAGAGAGGAATTAAATTCTTCTTTAGTGTGAGTTATGGTTTTCTATGTCACCTGCTTCCATTCTCTGAAAACTCTTGGAGGAAGCTCTAAAGATAAAATTAGGAGAGGGTAATAAAAGGCAAAATTTTGAAACAGTTTGGAACTTCAACTATGGGATCTAACTCTGGAACACCATCTTGATTCTCATTCTCCCTTTTTATTTTCCCAGACGAATTATCAATAAACACACTGATGAGTCATTAGGTGACTGCTCTTTCCTTAACACATGTTTCCACATGGACACCTGCAAATATGTTCACTATGAAATTGATGCTTGCATGGATTCTGAGGCTCCTGGGAGCAAAGACCATACACCTAGCCAAGAGCTTGCTCTTACACAGAGTGTTGGAGGGGACTCCAATGCAGATCGACTCTTCCCTCCTCAGGTACCTGTCTGCTCAGAAAACTTATTTCAACTTAGGGACTTATATCTGAGTAGGGCAGCCATACATGTAGGAAAGCAGGCATAATCAGCAGTCTGTCTTGCTGATTGGGAATGGTGTGGGCTATACATACTTACAAGGGACTAGGAAAATCAAATGGAAAAGAGGGACTGGGGCCATGAATCTGAGAGTGAAGGAAGGAAAGATGACCAAATACCACCTCATGCAGTGGATCTGTTGTGATATCCGCTACCTGGACGTCAGTATCTTGGGCAAGTTTGCAGTTGTGATGGCTGACCCACCCTGGGATATTCACATGGAGCTGCCCTATGGGACCCTGACAGATGATGAGATGCGCAGGCTCAACATACCAGTACTGCAGGATGATGGCTTTCTCTTCCTCTGGGTCACAGGCAGGTAATGCAGTTCCAAGATATGTAGGTATGGGCAGATGTAGTACAGAGTAAGTACTGGGTGGGAATAAAATCCTGGGTTTCGCTAGCCGTGCTATTATATGTATGACCAAGTCAGCCTTTTTTGCTACTGAGACCTAATGAGTGTTTATAACACAACTGATACCTGAATTCTAACTTTATATTTGTTCCTTATGAAAGGTAAGCCTACTGGTAATAGATACTGTTTTATGTTTTCATTCTTAGATCCATCCTGGTGCCCTAGTGGTGTCTTGCATGTAAATGTTCACTGAATGTCTCCTGAAAACACTTTGGTATCTTAAAGAGATTAAAAATATGGACATGAAAGTAGCTGTTTAACCCTTTTCTTTTTAGGGCCATGGAGTTGGGCAGAGAATGTCTGAACCTCTGGGGGTAAGTAGTGATCATTGTGTTGCTTTTTTTCTCCCCAAGGAAATAGAAACATAATTGCTGTAGTTAAGATGTGTTCTCTTCTCCCAGAGTATTCCCTGTCCTTTCCTCTGTAGACATTACTACCCTTAAACTGTGAAAGCCTGATTAAAGCTCTAGCCTGATTAAAGCTCTAGTTCTCTTTCTTATGTCCCACAGTTATGAACGGGTAGATGAAATTATCTGGGTGAAGACAAATCAACTGCAGCGCATCATTCGGACAGGCCGTACAGGTCACTGGTTGAACCATGGGAAGGAACACTGCTTGGTGAGCAGCAGTGGGGCCCAGTTCAGTAGGTGGAGCAGAAAGAGGAATTGTTGGACTTCTTATTGAGAAAAAGTTCAAATGCTAGGGGTTCCATAATTTGTTCTCTGTGGTGAGCAGGTTGGTGTCAAAGGAAATCCCCAAGGCTTCAACCAAGGTCTGGATTGCGATGTGATCGTAGCTGAGGTATGTGCTTCCCCAGGCATCCAAACCTTCCACACTATTCAAGCCAGCTGTGTTCCAGGTTCTCTCATTTGATCATAAATATAAATGGAAAGGGCTAGACTTGGAATCTTTGGTAATTTAAAAGTAACTAGAGCTTTACTTTCCTAGGTTCGTTCTACCAGTCATAAACCAGATGAAATCTATGGCATGATTGAGAGACTATCCCCTGGCACTCGCAAGATTGAGTTATTTGGACGACCACACAATGTGCAGCCCAACTGGTAAGGTGGACCAGGACATAACAGCCCTCCTGTTTATGGTCAAGGATGGATGATAGTAGAGCTTTACCTCCTATTTGAGTAGTCTAAAAACGCACTTCAGAGGATTCATAAGCCACCCAAGCTTGTACTGAAACTGTTTTACGGAGCTTTACAACATTTACTAGAGACCCAACAGGTTTTAAGACTCAAAAACCACTACTCTCCAAAGGGTCTCTGCTAATGATCTTCCTGTTATTCTGTGGGATGTATTGAATCTGCCCCCTGGTGGTTAAGAATCCATTTAATCTGTCAACAGTTTCAGTATCTTAGACTATTTGTAGAAGGAAGACATGTTGCTACCATTTTATTTATCCAAAGAATACTTATTGGTAGCAACAGAGCCCGATGCAGGGCTCGATCCCAGGACCCTGGGATCATGACCTGAGCTGAAGGCAGAGGCTTTAACCCACTGAGCCACCCAGGCTCCCCCCTAATGATTTATTTTTAAGTAATCTCTGTATCCACCGTGGGGCTCAAATTCACAACCCCAAGATCAAGAGTTGTATGCTCTACCAATGAGCCAGCCAGATGCCCCCTTCTGTATTTTAACTAAATAATCCTAGATATTAAGCTTTCTAAAAGGTAATGTTACCCTAATTTGAGTTCTTAAGTCTTATTAAGGTTACAATGGGTACCAGCTTGTGAAATAATAGGGTAAGTGATAAAAATACAGTCAGGAAGTATATTTGGTGACCAGGGCTTCTGCAAAGTTTTATAAGATTATTGTGTTTGAGTTTTAAAAGTCACATTCTAGGGGCGCCTGGGTGGCTCAGTGGGTTAAGGCCACTGCCTTTGGCTCAGGTCATGATCCCAGGGTCCTGGGATCGAGCCCGTCAGGCTTCCTGCTCAGCGGGGAGCCTGCTTTCTCCTCTGTCTCTGCCTGTCTCTCTGCCTACTTGTGATCTCTGCCTGTCAAATAAATAAATCTTTAAAAAAAAAAAAAAGGTCACATTCTAGGGGCACCTTGCTGGCTCAGTAGAGCGTGCAACCCTTGATCTCAGGCTTATAAATTTGAGCCCCATGTTGGGTGTGGAGATTACTTTACTTAAAATCTTTAAAAATAATAAAGTGGTCCTATCTAATCCTCAACACTGTCACTTTACATACCCTCTGATGTGCAGTGGCCTTGATTCATTAAAATTCAAAGTATTCCTCAGAAGAGCTAATCACAGCTTAGGTTGTTGAAAATATTTCTGGCTTTAAAATTTGGGTTATTAAAATTTTTTTTTTAATTTTTTTTTTTTAATTTATTTGACAGAGATCACAAGTAGGCAGAGAGGCAGGCAGAGAGAGAGGAAGGAAAGCAGGCTCCCCGCTGAGCAGAGAGCCCGATGCGGGGCTCGATCCCAGGACCCTGGGATCATGACCTGAGCCGAAAGCAGAGGCTCTAACCCACTGAGCCACCCAGGTGCCCCTAAAAATGTTTTTTTAAAGGTTTACTTATTTATTAGAGAGAGAGTACATGCATATGTGCGAGCAAGTTGGGGAGGGTCAGAGGGAGAGAGAAACTCCAGCAGATTCCCCGCCGAGCCAGGAGCCCACCATAGGCCCAAGACACGGGATCCTGAGATCATGACCTGAGGTGAAATTAAGAGTTGGGATGCATTTTTTTTTAAAGATTTGGGTGCCTGGGTGGCTCAGTGGGTTAAGCCTCTGCCTTCGGTTCAGGTCATGATCCCAGGGTCCTGGGATTGAGCCCGGCATCAGGCCTCTCTGCTCAGCAGGGAGCCTGCTTCCCCCTCTCTCTCTGCCTACCTCTCTGCCTACTTGTGATCTCTCTCTCTCTGTGTCAAATAAAAGGGAGGGAATATAGACAGGGGGAGTGGGAGAGGGAGAAGCAGGCCTCTCACTGACCAGGGAGCCCAATGGCAGGACTTGATCTCACGACCCTGGGATCATGACCTGAGCCAAAAGTAGATGCTTAACGACTGAGCCATCCAGGTGCCCCAAGAGTTGGGATACTTAACCAACTTCGCCACCCAGGCACCCATAAATATGGGTTAGTTACCATTTAGAGTAACTGAAGGGAGGTGGTATGGACATTTAAATCTACCATGCTGCTAATTTCCTTTGAAGCACAGCAGGGACAGGAATTAGGAAAATACCTTATTCAGTAGAGAAAAGGTAAGTGGTTCCCAGAAAATCCAAAAAATTCAGCAAAGCAGTGAATGCTTGAGTATGTTTGAGGAAAGGTGATCTAGTGCTAAATTTGGTCAGAGAATTCTCTGCATGAAATGAAAGTACATGCTGTGACCGTTGGAGAACTTGACTCCTCTGAGGAGTGTATAGATAGCCCTACAGTGGTTACCCTTTATCCTTTTTTTCACTTTCTTTACTCCTAGATCTACGAAATCCAGAGGCAGCACTGTCTCCCACCTTCCGCAGTGACAGCCCAGTGCCTACTGCACCCACTTCTGGTGGCCCTAAGCCCAGCACAGCTTCGGCAGTTCCTGAGCTAGCTACAGACCCTGAATTAGAGAAGAAATTGCTACACCACCTCTCTGATCTGGCCTTAACATTGCCCACTGATGCTGTGTCCATCCGTCTTGCCATCTCCACGGTAATGACCTGTTAAGACAGGGTTGGGATATACCACTTCTTTGCTTCAGTTCGTGGTCAGTGTCTTACTGTCTTCCCCTCCCCTCCCCTCCTTCCCTAGCCAGATGCCCCTGCCACTCAAGATGGGGTAGAAAGCCTCCTACAGAAGTTTGCAGCTCAGGAGCTGATAGAGGTAAAACGAGGTCTCTTACAAGATGATGCACATCCTACTCTTGTGACCTATGCTGATCATTCCAAGCTCTCTGCCATGATGGGTGCTGTGGCAGAAAAGAAGGGCCCTGGGGAGGTAACAGGGACTATCACAGGACAGAAGCGGCGTGCAGAGCAGGACTCAGCCACAGTAGCTGCCTTTGCTAGCTCTTTGGCCTCTGGTCTGGCCTCTTCAGCATCAGAAGCAGCCAAGGAGCCAACCAAGAAATCGAGGAAACATGCTGCCTCGGATGTTGATCTGGAGATAGAGAGCCTTCTGAACCAACAGTCTACTAAGGAACAACAGAGTAAGAAGGTAGGGGTAGATGGAAATGCATTCATGCATACACTTTGTTTGTTTATTTTTGGTTTTGTTTTTTTAAAATTTTATTTTTAAGTAATCTACACCCATTATGGGGCTCAGACTTAAAACCCTAAGATTAAGAGTTGAATGTTCTACCAACTGAACCAACCTGGCGCTCCTTACATAGGTACTTTTAGTTACAGCTTTGGTTGGGGAGGAATTTACCCCTAGGGCAAGGAGCAGGTCTTAGGGTTGAGGGTTTAGAATAATGGTTTTCAATTTCAATTTCATTGGGGATTATTGTCCCCCCTACCTTCCCCCAAAGAACATATAGCAATGTCTGAAGACATTGTGATTGTCACAACACAGGAGTGCTACAGGCATCCATTGCATAGAGGCAAACGATGCTGTTAAGTATCCTACAATCATAGTAGGATAGTCCCCACACAACAAAGAAATACTTCACCCCAAATGTCACTAATGCCAGTGTGAAGAAACTCCAGTTTTGAGGATGCTTGTTATTGGAAGAATCATCAGGTAAGTGGAAGAGGAGCCCATGTATGAGAATAGCGGGAGATGAATGGACATGAATCCTGGAAGGTAGTAACAAGGACCATTAATTATAGAAACTGATGATTAAACAGTGTAAATTGGCAGTTAACTGTGGTTCTGAATATAAGTAACGGACTCGTGAATACTTCCCATTTGCTATTTCTAGGTGTGTAAATATGAACAAGTTAATTTAACTTGAGTTTTAGTCTTCTAATCTGTTAGGTGATGATAACCAGAGTACCCTCCTTTACAGAACTGTTGCATAGACTCAGCTAAACAGTAAAGTGCTTTGTGCTTCAGTGTCTTGGTTCTGTACATATAAGTGGTTTTGGTGGGAAGGATTGCTTTCCTGGGGAGGGGAGGCTAGCTTAATGCCTAGCAGTAGAAACCAGGTTTCTTATAATTCCACCCCAAATGCAGATCTGTAAGAAGGGACTGAACCCATGACAAAACTCTTCTAGGACTCCACTTTTCCCATATTAGGTTAGCTCATTCACCTCTTACAACAGGACATTGTCAGGTAGAATTTAGGGAGGTGGTTTAGGGCTCATTTTATCTGCAAACCTTTTAAGTCTAAGGCTTCTTTTGTCACAGGTCAGTCAGGAGATCCTAGAGCTATTAAACACAACAACAGCCAAGGAACAGTCCATTGTTGAAAAGTTTCGATCACGAGGTCGGGCCCAAGTACAGGAGTTCTGTGACTATGGAACCAAGGAGGAGTGCATGAAAGCCAGTGATGCTGACCGGCCCTGCCGCAAGCTGCACTTCAGGTGTCTCGGGAGGGAGAGAGGTCGGGTGGGGCTCCCAGAAGCACTCATTACTTTCAGCACATTCCTTGCAGTCACTGGGGTTCTGTCTTTTATCCTCTTGTTAAATGTTTTTAATGATTTGTCTTAGACCTCCAGATTCTCAAGGTGTACTTGCTGAAGTAGTGTTCTATGGGAGAGAATACAGACTGCATTCCCAAATAGATGTGAGATTTTTTTTTTTAAATAACGCCCCTTTCTTCTTGTATTAGCAAGACATCTCTCTCTGAGGCCCAGTAAAAGTTAAATTCCCTGAAGGATGATCGTAGGAGAAATAGGAACCTGGGCTCTTAGGTCAGTGTTTCATTCAGCTTTAACCAGCAAGTCCTTCTTTCCTGTTCTAAGAAAGTTGTCTTTGCTCAGAGAGGAATTAAATTCTTCTTTAGTGTGAGTTATGGTTTTCTATGTCACCTGCTTCCATTCTCTGAAAACTCTTGGAGGAAGCTCTAAAGATAAAATTAGGAGAGGGTAATAAAAGGCAAAATTTTGAAACAGTTTGGAACTTCAACTATGGGATCTAACTCTGGAACACCATCTTGATTCTCATTCTCCCTTTTTATTTTCCCAGACGAATTATCAATAAACACACTGATGAGTCATTAGGTGACTGCTCTTTCCTTAACACATGTTTCCACATGGACACCTGCAAATATGTTCACTATGAAATTGATGCTTGCATGGATTCTGAGGCTCCTGGGAGCAAAGACCATACACCTAGCCAAGAGCTTGCTCTTACACAGAGTGTTGGAGGGGACTCCAATGCAGATCGACTCTTCCCTCCTCAGGTACCTGTCTGCTCAGAAAACTTATTTCAACTTAGGGACTTATATCTGAGTAGGGCAGCCATACATGTAGGAAAGCAGGCATAATCAGCAGTCTGTCTTGCTGATTGGGAATGGTGTGGGCTATACATACTTACAAGGGACTAGGAAAATCAAATGGAAAAGAGGGACTGGGGCCATGAATCTGAGAGTGAAGGAAGGAAAGATGACCAAATACCACCTCATGCAGTGGATCTGTTGTGATATCCGCTACCTGGACGTCAGTATCTTGGGCAAGTTTGCAGTTGTGATGGCTGACCCACCCTGGGATATTCACATGGAGCTGCCCTATGGGACCCTGACAGATGATGAGATGCGCAGGCTCAACATACCAGTACTGCAGGATGATGGCTTTCTCTTCCTCTGGGTCACAGGCAGGTAATGCAGTTCCAAGATATGTAGGTATGGGCAGATGTAGTACAGAGTAAGTACTGGGTGGGAATAAAATCCTGGGTTTCGCTAGCCGTGCTATTATATGTATGACCAAGTCAGCCTTTTTTGCTACTGAGACCTAATGAGTGTTTATAACACAACTGATACCTGAATTCTAACTTTATATTTGTTCCTTATGAAAGGTAAGCCTACTGGTAATAGATACTGTTTTATGTTTTCATTCTTAGATCCATCCTGGTGCCCTAGTGGTGTCTTGCATGTAAATGTTCACTGAATGTCTCCTGAAAACACTTTGGTATCTTAAAGAGATTAAAAATATGGACATGAAAGTAGCTGTTTAACCCTTTTCTTTTTAGGGCCATGGAGTTGGGCAGAGAATGTCTGAACCTCTGGGGGTAAGTAGTGATCATTGTGTTGCTTTTTTTCTCCCCAAGGAAATAGAAACATAATTGCTGTAGTTAAGATGTGTTCTCTTCTCCCAGAGTATTCCCTGTCCTTTCCTCTGTAGACATTACTACCCTTAAACTGTGAAAGCCTGATTAAAGCTCTAGCCTGATTAAAGCTCTAGTTCTCTTTCTTATGTCCCACAGTTATGAACGGGTAGATGAAATTATCTGGGTGAAGACAAATCAACTGCAGCGCATCATTCGGACAGGCCGTACAGGTCACTGGTTGAACCATGGGAAGGAACACTGCTTGGTGAGCAGCAGTGGGGCCCAGTTCAGTAGGTGGAGCAGAAAGAGGAATTGTTGGACTTCTTATTGAGAAAAAGTTCAAATGCTAGGGGTTCCATAATTTGTTCTCTGTGGTGAGCAGGTTGGTGTCAAAGGAAATCCCCAAGGCTTCAACCAAGGTCTGGATTGCGATGTGATCGTAGCTGAGGTATGTGCTTCCCCAGGCATCCAAACCTTCCACACTATTCAAGCCAGCTGTGTTCCAGGTTCTCTCATTTGATCATAAATATAAATGGAAAGGGCTAGACTTGGAATCTTTGGTAATTTAAAAGTAACTAGAGCTTTACTTTCCTAGGTTCGTTCTACCAGTCATAAACCAGATGAAATCTATGGCATGATTGAGAGACTATCCCCTGGCACTCGCAAGATTGAGTTATTTGGACGACCACACAATGTGCAGCCCAACTGGTAAGGTGGACCAGGACATAACAGCCCTCCTGTTTATGGTCAAGGATGGATGATAGTAGAGCTTTACCTCCTATTTGAGTAGTCTAAAAACGCACTTCAGAGGATTCATAAGCCACCCAAGCTTGTACTGAAACTGTTTTACGGAGCTTTACAACATTTACTAGAGACCCAACAGGTTTTAAGACTCAAAAACCACTACTCTCCAAAGGGTCTCTGCTAATGATCTTCCTGTTATTCTGTGGGATGTATTGAATCTGCCCCCTGGTGGTTAAGAATCCATTTAATCTGTCAACAGTTTCAGTATCTTAGACTATTTGTAGAAGGAAGACATGTTGCTACCATTTTATTTATCCAAAGAATACTTATTGGTAGCAACTTTTGTGCAGTACACCTGATTAGCTGTCTGTTATTAACCCTTAAGTAAGACAGATCCAGCCTGTTTGAACACCAAAATCTGTGCCCAATTCCTAATCATACTACCAAATATTATTCTAATTATTAAGGCCTTCTTGAAGGAATTGGCATGAATATTAGATGATAGGCAGCCTTAATAAAAGATATGCATCTTTTAACAATATTAAGCCTTTAATTCCAGGATTTTTTGGTTTGCCCCTAATTTATCCTTACTTCAGGATCACCCTTGGAAACCAACTGGATGGGATTCACCTATTAGACCCAGATGTGGTTGCCCGGTTCAAGCAAAGGTATCCAGATGGTATCATCTCTAAGCCTAAAAATCTATAGAAGCACTTCCTTATAGAGCTAAGCACCTACACCCATGGCTCTGCAGGCTGCATCTGAAGAGTAATATTTGTACAGTAGTTTTTTTTCCCCTTATTTAAATAAAAGTTTGTATTGTAGTTGGGATTTCAAGGTCAAAACCTGGCTGTGCCACTAACCGTGTGTGATCTTGTGTAACCTATCTCTCAGTACGATTTCTTATATGTAAGCTGGGAATGTGACCTACCTCATTGGGTTATTGTAAGGGTTCAAACTAAATGAGTGCATGGAAAGCATTAAAATGTTGATTATACTATATAGGATCAAAGTGGTTAGCAGTTAGTACTATGTGACAACATAATCAAGAAGGGGGTTCTCTGGGACAGCTTTTCTTAAGGTAAGATTTGATTTCACTTCAGGTTATCATCATTAGGGCTAACATGCTCTAAATATTTGTTTACTCTTTTACAGTTATGTGGCTTTGCTTGTCTTTCCTTTTTAAAAATGCATCCCTACGGTGTACAGAGAATTAGCATATATATTATGTAAGTGAAAACACCTCTAGCCTATCTTATAAAAGATATTTCATCAAACACAACTGAACACAACTTCGTTAGACTTTGGTAAAACCTCTTATATTAAGGATATAGACTTCTGCCTTTTACACTCAGAAACTGTGATAAATCCAAGGAGGATCATGGACTACAGAAATAACATTATTTGAAAAGAGAAATAAATAAGAAACCCCCAGGCGATGGTATTTTCCCTATAGCCCGGGTGCTTGCTCTGTTGAAAACTTTTGTTCTCAAAGCAATGTATATGTGTGATAGCAGTTGTTCCTGTTTAAGAGATAACCTTTAATGCAGTTTTTCATCCCCTTTAAAATGGATGCACACAGCATTTTAGCCTAGGTTCAAAACTGAGTATTCTCCCATCATTTTAATAATTGTTTAGGCATGTCCTATGACAATTATCCCGTTTCCTCAAACAACCCCCCACCAGCACCACCCCTATGTTCTGCTTGTTCATATTCCCTTCACCCTTTCCTCTGCTATTATCACTGGTATCTCTGTACTTTAAAGTAAAAAGCAATTCCAGATTACAGCAAACTCAATGGCCTTGCTCCAAAGTATGGCCCCTGCTGAAGAGACAGAAAAGGGAAGAAGCATGAAGGACCATCATGGGTTGAAATCAGGCACTACCAGAAGCCCAGCTTTTTTTTTTTTTTTAAAAGAGGCTCTTAGACATGTTTCCAGCAGATAAGTCTTGACCGACTTGGAGAACAGGAAGGACTACTTCACAAACACCACTGTGTTTGAATTTCTAGAAGCCACCCAGGCCAAGAAGACATCCCTAAGAGAGAAGAGATACACATAAACTTAGAATTATAGCCTAGTCTTTTGGAACTCTGTCTTAAATAGCTTCATTAAGATGAAATGATATCACTTTATGAATTTAAGAGCAGCAGGCCTTAATCAAGTTTAGTAGTCCTGATTTACTGAAGCAGATTTGACTTAGGAAAATACCAATACTTTCATATATAGAGGTAAATTCCAGGAAAATTGGGGAGATGGGCAAAATCTTCAGAACTTGTTTCACCCCTACCACCCACCCCTTCTTTCTCCTGTCACACTTAGCATAATGGTCCTGCTCAAATTCTAATTCCTTGAGTAGCTAGATTTGTGCTAAGGAGAGAAGCTAAGCTAATATCCATAGTCACTAACAGCTTAAGGTGTTAAAATATTTTTAAAAGAGCATATGTAACTGAATGTAATGTAATCAAAAACAAAAACTGCCGATTATGTCATCTTTGTCCATGAGGCAAATGTAAGCTCTTTTTAAGCAGGAGAAGCTTTTCTAGTCTCTATAATCAGATATACATAAAGCAATCTAGTCTACTTAAGGTCAGGTGATGCTGATTATATACTCAGGATTACCCTTTTTGCCAACAGTTAATTTAGGAGTACCTGAATTGTAAGAAGGGAAACTATAAGCTCACCTGCAGTGCTTTACCACACATTCATTGCTGCAGTACTCATTGTCCCAGTCCTTACTCACAACAGGAGGGTTCTCACAACCGGACCTCACACATCGAGGCTGGGGTGAGAGTGTCACAGGAGACCCACTCACCAATTCAACATCCATTTGAGAAGGAGACTCAACCTGTGAGAGGAAGAGAGCACCAAAGACAAATTAGATTGCTACTTACTTTGTTTTTTTTTGTTTGTTTTAGATTTTATTTATTTGGCAGAGAGAGAGGGAACACAAGCAGGGGCAGAGGGAGGGAGAAGCAGGCTCCCCACCAAGCAGGGAGTGCAATGCGGGGCTCGATCCCAGGACTCTGGGATCATGACCTGAGCCGAAGGCAGATGCTCACAACTGAGCCACCCAGGTGCCCTGCACTTTTTTTTTTTTTTTTAAAGATGTGATTTGTCAGAGCACAAGCAGGGGCCACAGCAGGCAGAGGGAAAAGCAGGCTCCCTGCTGAGCAAGGGGCCCAATATGGGACTCAGTCCCAAAACACTGGGATCATGATCTGAGCTAAAGGCAGGTGCTTAACCAACTGAGTCACCCAGAGATCACAGGGGGGCAGAGTTTTTTATAAAAGAGTTCCTGGTTTCCCCCTCTATATGCAGCTTTAGACTGACAAAAAGATTCTTCCAGTTGGAGGAACGCTAGTTAGTATTCCTTAATTTTAACCCACTGAGCCACCCAGGTGCCCTAGTACTCCTTAATTTTAATCTTATCACTGACTTTATTCCACACTTGAATAATACTCCTGAAAATGTCCAAAGTATGGTGTGAGTAGAGGCTGGTTTACTTCAACTAGGATTGGGAGGGCTAAGAGAAGATAAAATGCACCATTAGAAAAAAAGAAAGACCTTGGGAGAGTCACAGATTCCAGCTGACAGGGGTTATTTTTCTTTAAATGATTGCTTCATTAATTGTAGATCTGGAGTCTCAAAACAGGCCCATATTTTATTTAAAAAAGACTATTGGTGGGGCGCCTGCCTGGGTGGCTCAGTGGGTTAAGCCTCTGCCTTCAGCTCAGGTCATGATCTCAGGGTCCTGGGATCAAGCCCCGCATTGGGCTCTCTGCTAGGCAGGGAGCCTGCTTCCCCCTGTCTCTCTGCCTGCCTGTCTCTTCCTACTTGTGCTTTCGCTCTCTGTCAAATAAATAAAATCTTAAAAAAAATAAAGAGACTATTGGTGATGTACAGATTAAAACTAGGGTAATTGGCATCGGTTTATGTCTCTTTGGAAAGACTCCATGATATGAACCAATTTTTTTCAACCTGTCCATCCCCCACCTAAAACATTAAGCCAACCAGCAGAGATGTAGGAGAAACTGAAGAACTTATATCTCCAAAGTTTAGGATCCTTGGATAGACACCTCTGAAAAATAACTCTGTGCTCAGGCTGTATCCTTTTGCATAGAACTGCAATAGGACTTTTGTGTAGTTAAGTGGTCTGGGACAGACCACCCTCCTAAATGTTTCTCACCAAGAACACTACAGATTATCATGGGTAGGACAAGTCACAGTCGCAGGGAACTCCTACTACAGGAACTCCTGGCTGCCAGACATTAAATGCTAGTACCAACCTCCACTTTTATTGGGTCAACCAAAATAATTCTACCTTTCCACTGGTCTGGAGAAAGACTTGAAAATAGGCTCACCTCAGGAACTACATCTGTGATCATCTCACAGATTGTCTCAGGAGAAGTTTCCTCCACTGTATGGGCCTCGGGGCTGTTGTTTACAGGCCGCTCAGGACTGCTTTCTACAGCTGGTGGGACTAAGGTCGTCTGCATTTTCAGAGTGGGTGGAGGCACAATCTTGATCTGCAGAGGTGGCGGCTGTTGCTGTAAATTGATTCGAACTTTCTGAGGTGGAGGCTGTTGCATGGCCTGAAGTGGGGGAGGCTGCTGCAGAATGGTCACCTGCTGCTGAGTGGGAGGCTGAGGCATCTGTTGCAGTGGAGGGGGCTGAAGTCGGGGTGGAGGCAGTTGCATAGAAGCAGCGGCTGCTGCTGCGGCCTGCAACACTGAGCGAGTGACAATTTGGGCTTGTTGACTGGGCTGGATAGTGGCTGTACTGGTTTGGCCTAGTTGGATCCCCCGGGAGGTCACCACTGTGGCTGGGATAACAGTAACCATCCCTCCTTGAGACATAGTAATAGAAGAGGGCAACATCTGTTTGGTAATAATCAACTTGGTGATATTGGGCTGACCCCCAGCCCCAGAAGATGCCTGGTTTGCCACATATGAGGAAAGAGTGGAGTTAACAACAATGGAAGGGGAGAGGGCAGGGGGCTCTGTTGAGGCTGGTGCTGGAGATGCTGGGTCAACAGTAGCCATAGGAGGTGGAGAAGGAGTCTGTGACGGTGGCACTGGATCCAATTCTACTGTTTCCACAGTGGCCTAAAAGACCCAAAAGAAATAAAGACAGCCATTGGGAAATTTATTCTCCTCCCCAGAACATATTCACTCTAATCACCTCCCAAGAAAAGATACATCACAGAGTGGGAAAAAGAAAAGAACTCTGGGAATAAACAATGGAGTAACTGTAAATAATGGAGATAAACTCAGAAAGACAAACTGGTAAGGTTTGTGACAGAAACAATAGGAAACCTGTTATATACTTTTAAACTTTTAATACAACATAAAATTATCAGGTTCCACAGGTTTTTGGTAGTATTTACTTCTTGTAACTGCTAATAAACGGCTCCAAAAATCTTCTTATTGCTTTAAGTAGCCCTCTTACCTGACACTCTTGATTGTCTTTATATGCAGCCAGAGCCTTCAGATACTCTTTCTTGGCAGCTTCAGTTTTCCTCTTATACACCTACAGGAAAGGGAGAGACTGTTTAAAAAGTCCCCATACTCCTAGAAAAGACTAATAATTCTCTATTATTTATCAACGAATGACAGTTCATCTCAGTTAAATACTGGCACAACTCTTTTTAGTGAATATACTTCTGAAAGCTAGTAATCAAGACAGTCTCCATAGCCGACTCTACAGTGACCATGCATCTGAAAGTCAACCAATCAGCAAATCTTGCCAGAACAATGGTGCTCCCAGAGTTAACACCAACCCATGCCCACTTTTATAACCGAAAAAAAAAAATCTCAGATCCAAACACTATATAAAATCAATAGTCTGCTTAGCCTGTCACTGTGTCTAATGGGTATACTCTCCCTTAAGGAATGTGGCAAATTATTTGCAATGATGGCCACAAGAATTCCTCCCATCTTGTGTACTTTTTCTTCCATCAAGGGCTGAAACCTATTTCTCTGTCCTTTAAATCTGGGATAGCTCTATGAACTGCTTTGACCATAAGAAGATGGCTAAAGTGACAGGCCTTGCTCTAAGTCTGCCATGCTATAAGGAAGCCAGTCTGGCCTTTTGAAGGATGAGAGGCCAAGTGAATGAGTAGGAAAGCCAACGAGTAGCACCAAATGTCACACATGGGAGCAAGGTCACCTTGGCCAGCCATACCAGCTGTCATTTGACTACAACCACAAGAATGAGCCCAGGCAAGAACATCAGAAA